ATAGATTTTTCTTTGATAGTATCTCGATACACAAAACCACAACCATAAAGGGAAGGGTTTTTCATCAACTTATTCCAATTTATTTTCTTTATGGTGTTACACAAAGAGCAGAAAAGGCCTCTTCCTCCACATTGCAACAAAACAGATAGCAGTACACATACAGTGACTCTCACCCGAAACACAGAGGCGGGGGAAGGGGGACAACTGAATCATAGCCAGGTGAGGGAGGAAGGAACAGGGGACTACTAGGAATCCAGCTTGGAGACTCAGTCATAGAAACTAGTGCAAGAAAGTCCTACTCATGAAGCACAGTGTAGAAAATGGCGTAAGAAAGCTGTCCAGCTCTGCTGCCTGTGATGGAGGGCAGGGCAGCTTGAGGAGTAGTGTAAGATCTGGGTGGTGGGGTGGATAGGGACAATCAAATGACTTTGAGGTGGAGTGAGGTGCCCCTTTCCCCTGCCACCGGGCAAGGCCCTGGGCTGGTCTGAGCCAGGGGTCTCCTGGGCACTTGGTGAGGGGGAAGAGAGGATGGGAGTCTCCAAGGATCCATTCCCTAGGGCCCTTAGGTCCCCCTTTACTTCCCAGTCCCCTTTTCCCCTCCTGAGGATGCAGGAGTTAGAAGGCAGTACCTAGGGTCTCTCATGTCTACATAAGCATCTCTGGAAAGGAGCCAGCACCTCTTTCCCTCCCCAGCTGAAAAGAGCACTCTAGGGATGGGGTATGTGGCTAGGCCCAAAGTGCTGAGGGCCAAACAGGGGAGTGTGTGGGCAGGGCATATGGGTGGGGGAAGGGGGCATGCTGTGAGAAATGAGAAAACTGGCAGGGAAGGACTCCCCAGTCTCATGAAGTCTATTTGGGACACAGCTGAGGCCCTTGAATGATTCCTTCTCTACAAGGGAAGTCTCCCATTTATCCCCCAGCCAATCAATTTCAGCTGTCCCCTCTCGATTCCCTTCTTGGTTTTACCTAATGTAAAGAGCGGCTACCCATCCCCTTAATTCACTGGCATCACATCCTAGGACACAGGTTCTTCTGGCACCAAAGCCGCTTGGCCTGTTCCAGAACAGTTCTGGCTTCCTATTGGCTTTGAGATGTCCAGGCAATGTGGTCTCCCACTCCCAAGAGATCAGCACAAGGCTAATGGCTCCCAAAGGGCTCTTGATGACTCTTCTCTCACTCAGCCCTCTAACCTGGCTAAATAGTTCAAGTCTGTCAGCCAACAGATGACAGCACATTCTCTTTATTCAGTGGGTCCTTTCTGCCAGTTTCTGGATGTTCTCCAGCAAGGAGCAAGGGTGGCTGGATCAGTGGACCAGGTACAGGGTGAGAAGGAGTCTGGTTGTTTCACTATTGGAATAGTGTATCATGGGGTCAGAGATGGGAAGAGATGAATACTCTTTGGTAGGCTGGGGATGGGGACAGGGTAGGGATGGGGGGTGGGGGCTCATCTCTGGAAAGCCCTGGGGCAATGCCACCAGATTCTCCTTCATGGAGGTCTGGGCTAGGGCAAGATGGGGGAGTATGGGGATCCAGGCCAGGCCTGACCCACTTGGGCTTAAGTCCCTCCTCCCCATGGAGATCAGAAATGGAAATGTCTTTGTCCTCAAGGCTAAGATCTCCAGGGCAAGAGCGGCCCTTGGGAGTATGTGCACCTTCTGTAAGATATGGCCCTCCAGACAGCGGCAGTCTGACCATATGACCTCAGCCTTCTGTTTCAAGGCCCAGCAACCCATTTCCTGCACTTTCCCCCCACAGGGCTCCTTATACATCACTTTTTGATTTGGGGAGCTGTCTTTGAGCCTGCCTCAACACTGATCATCCACCTCCCCAAAGCCTGGTAGCAATAACCCATTTAGCCATCTCTCTAAGCCAGTGGTTCTCAACCTTCTGGCCCTTTAAATACAGTTCTTCATGTTGTGACCCAACCATAAAATTATTTTCGTTGCTACTTCATAACTGTAATGTTGCTACTGTTATGAATCGTAATATAAATATCTGATATGCAGGATGGTCTTAGGCGACCCCTGTGAAAGGGTTGTTCGACCGCCAAAGGGGTCACGACCCACAGGTTGAAAACCGCTGCTCTAAGCCCTCTGCCTACAATTCTCCTCTCCCTCTTTCCTATCTCCACTCTCTCACCACTCATTCTGCATCCCATTCCTACCCCTCATTGCCTAGGGTGGTGGGGCAGTTAACTGGAGTCCTGACCCAGCTGTGACTGTGCGCACCTCATCTCCCAGCCTGGCACTTCCCTACTGTGGTCTCATGTGGGCCAAGGTGAACTGGAGGAGGGCCACTGCACCGTCCGTGTTGGGGTATGGGCAGAAGGGAATTAAGGATCTTGGCAACAAAAGGAATATGAAGGGGGGAAAGAGCTGCTCCCTTCTGGGCCCCCCAACATTCCCTGCAGGGCCAATGCTGGGATAGCAGCCTCCTTCCCTGGGGTGAGGGTCCTCAGCAGGGGTGGACAATGCCAGCCCCCACTCTCCCCCTTTTTGTTTGCTAAGCCCCATAAATGGGGGCCTAGGATGGGGCGCCTGCTGCTCCTGCCTTCTCCTGGATGAGTTTGCAGCTCCCTGGGGCCCTCTGGCCGTTCTGCTGGGGCTGCTTTTGGAGTGGGAGTAGGCTGGGGACCATGTGTAGTCCCTCATTTCCCCCCGCCCCCCACCTGGTCCTATATCTCCCATGGGAGGAGCCCCCCCTCCCCCTGCCCCTGGGGGAGCTGGAACTGATGTCAGTGTGTGGTGGAGGTCTGTCTTCCCTCCCTGCTGTCACTCTTCCAGAGTCAGGCCCTCATCTAGGGCAGGCAGTGCCTCCAGCCCCAGTCCCCCACCACTCTGGTTGCTGGAGAAGGACACCATGGTATGGAGGAGCATGAGAACAAGGACATAGAGCCGGATCCTGCTGGGGCTGAGGCGGGAGCCCCCAGAGACCGGCAGCAGGGAGGGCTTGTGGCTGATACGGCCTGGGGGGTCATAGCGGGGATGGTAGTGGCGGTACTGTTTGTGGTAGTGGTGGAAATAGGAGTGGTGGAATTGCTGGTGGTGGGTTTTGGGGGCCTCAGACTCCTTGAACTTCTTCTTTCCCGACTCAACAGGAGACCACTGCACGTCACAGCACTTGCTTTCCAGCTGCTTTGGCGAAGTATCCAGCAACCCTGCCCAATGGATAAGAAAGGTGTGTGGGTGCTCAGGGGCTAAGCTAGGCCTTTCCTAGAGATGAGCTTCAAGCTGGACTGACTGCTC